GTTTTTGTCTTTTCAAAATTTACAGTATAATTAAGCTTAGAGGAAGCATCAAGGCAAGTAAAAGAAATATACCTGGGTGTTATTGGTAGAAAAAGGTTTTGTTTTTTTCTTGTCTTTGTTTCTCTGTCTCTTTCTGTCATACACACAAACATACATACACACACACTCACACATGCACATACACATACACACATGACCTGCTCCATGGTTCTTTTCTGGTTCCAGGAGAATACTTACCAAAAAAGAATGATATTATAAAATCACTTAAATCAAATTGGTTGATTAGAAATGTATTTAAAGTTTAAACTTCATTGGAATTAGGTCAACCTCAGGCAATCCATGGGAAAGCAAACAAAACAAAAGAAAACTCAGTTTATGCATGGGATCCAAAGAACTCTCTCTCTCTCTCAAGTGTATAGTGGAACAGTAGGTTATAAAATTAAGACTGTGATTCCTTATGATTTAAAAAATTGAGTCTGGTGATCCTCAATTCAATCAGACTAATACAAAATGAAGGATGTATTTAAAAGGTTCTGGAGCTAGCACACAGAATTAGACAAATGGCTTGAAGCCTTCACAGGATGAAATCAGATTTTTATAACTAAGGAGACTTTTATGTTATGCCTTTTATTTCTTCTTTCTTCTTTTCTATTAATTTTATTCTCTCAGGCATTTTCCAGAATGAGGACATGGCCATTAAATTTAGGGGCCACATCCCTTCAATATTGGGATTGTAAAGAAAAAGAACGCAAGTGGCTTCCTTGTTTGCTTCAGTGGGATCATAACTGGGCAAGGACTCTGATTGATTTGGCTTTGGTCATGTTTAAATCCTTGGTCCAGTCCCTGTGGTCAGAGAATGAAGATGCTATATTCATCACAGACTGAGACTAAATAATATGACTATTCATCTATCAAAAGGGGACATAGGTGTATTGGATAGACAAAAGAAAATAAAGAGAGGCTCTAGAGACATTCCAAATGATAACTGTATTTTGAGCAATGTGCTTTTGTTAAATATTTAACAAACAGACTTAAATACTTCATTCTGAAGTGTGCCATGCCTCTTATGATCTAAATCTACACCTGATTAAATCTACAACAATTATTTTTTTCACCTAACAACAATCAAAATTATTTGAGGCTGCTTTATAATTTTTTATTTTTTAAATTTGTTAAATCTCAATACAGTTTACTATTTTTGGTAGATACCGTGGTAAGCTACTCAGCATCTCTTCCAACCTCTTTTGGAAGTCCTACTACTGCAGTCTGGTAGGCAAGCACTTTATTTTATAGCCTCTTTGCTTGTAGATTCTGAATGTGCTTTAGGCGCTGCCAAACAGAAGCGCTGGTGGGAGACTGGAATTTGGAAGTGCATTCATTGAGGAGAGAGGCAGGCTTGAGGGTGTTCATTTTGCTGGGACAGATTGTAGTGTACATGACCTGGTTTTGGAGCCAGCACTTGAGGCAGCAGCTGCCCAATTTGGCAGATGGCTTCTAGATCACAGCAAGAGAAGTACTGCATTGGTGGCCAAGTTCTGCACTGTGGCTTTGGGATTTGGTTCTGGAAACTCAATCTAGTGTGTTTTTTAAACCATCTCAATGATTACATAAATCATATAGTAGGCTGTAAGAAATCCCTTTCTCATTAAATATCATGAATGGATTATGTTCTCTGCAATTGAACCCTGGCTGTTACAAAATAGGAATTAGTTTAAAAATTGTTTTATTTTTCTTTCTTTATGATTGCATAGTCACAGAACATAGGGTGAGCTTGGCATCATTTATTGCCTTCAGTGAAGAGGTTAATTAGAAGATTGTCATACTTCCTAACTGATCCATGGTGGTAAGATTCTAGGGACATCTCTGCTGTTCAACACTCCGGGAATAACTTGGACCCTTCAGATCTGTTCTCCACCACTCCATCTTCTCTGTGCCCTTGGACTGGCTAGCAGCAATCGCCTTCACTACTTTTAGGGAAAGTTGCTCTTCTGATCAAGTTCTTGGGGTCAATTTATGAGTATTTGTTTTAGCTTCAAAGCGTATTACATGCTCAGTCTTTTCATAATGTCTTGCTTACAAATTTTAGAATACTGTGGGGACACCTGATTTATATAGATTGTCTGACCTCCATCCCTCGTCAGGTTAGCATTCACTTTGTCCTTCAAAAGTGTCACAGTTGACATAATATTCCTATCTTTGTGTTGTCTTCCTAGAGTGTATACTTTCTAAACAGTAACGTTGATTAATTCCTTAGTGTACACACCTCACATTTGCCGCCTGAGGGTTTACAGATTCAACACCACAAACAGAATGGCCGGTCTGGGGCATTCTCTGCCTCACATATCCAAGTTTTGACCTCTGGGCTTGCAGCTCTCAAGCTTTTCATTGGGTATGAGAATGGAAGGGAGTGACCTAGACAGGTGTCAACAACCACAGCTAAGTCCAGGTGTCACCTCTTCTCTCCTCTCCTCTCTCTGCCTCGTTTCCAGTAGTGTTTCTGGGATCCAGAACTGGTGCTGATGTTGCCCAGTTTTGTAGCCTGACCCTTAGAGATTCACAAATTCTGTTTTCTGCCTGAAGTGCAGAAAAGCTCTTTTGCCTTCAGTGTAGTAGTAATAAAACAAAGACTTTTTTAAAAAGAAAATTTCTATTTGCCTTTAAGTTTATTATCTATCTCCATATCTCTATTCAAAATCTACAGTACAGACTTTCTCAGAGTGGAATTTGGAAGTCTTTTCTTTTTAAACAAGTTTCTTACATTATTCTGACACATTTAGTTCACTTTATTTTCTATATCTGCATCTATGAATAAGTTACTGATTACAAGAAAAAAAGGAGGAGGAGTAGAAATGAAAGTACTCCAGTAGTTTGCATATTTTATTTAGCAGTGGATTTAAGAGTAATTATAGGAGTAATACAAATTTATACTTTTTATGATTTTGCTATTTTCTCCTTTCAGGATGGAAATTGTCTGATAAACTCACACGGATTCTGTAACATTTAGCAACTTATCACCAGGACTGGAAGACCAAGGGGAAAAAACAAATTTAACATAATTTGCAGAAAGAAAAAAGTCCAGAATTCTCATGAATTTAAGTGCAATTCAGTGTTGTCACCTTTGGCTGCTTCAATCAGTCTCATTCTCTCCCTCCTCTTAGTCCTTCTCGGCTGAGAGGTGGAGAGTGGAAAAGAAAAAAGATTTTCAAATTTCAGCCCTCAGGTAGACTTGGGTTGGCCCTGCTTCCAGACCTGGGAGTATTGTGGGTGTCCAGGCTCTGGTGTTAGACCCTGCTCTGCAGCAGCCCTGGCTCTTTGGGTCTCACTCTGACCCCTAGCCCTGAGAACCTTGCCCCCTTTCTCCCAAAAGTGTCTTTGACTTTGGCCTTCTATGTCCCTGTGTTGTCTTCTCTATCTTGTACAGGATCTGTCTCTCCCCTCCCCTTCCATCATTATATTTTTACCAAGTGTTCAAATCCAGTTACTGGTTTCCTTATCTGGCATGATGTCAGATTCCATGTTCCTTCTGAGTTTGGTATCAGTCCTTCTGGTAACCAGAAGCTGATTCATTATCCATAAGTGAAAATTTTCACCTAGCATTAATCTCTCATTAACATCTCCTTATTTGGGCAATATTCACATTTTCGGTCAATTGAATCAAATCAAATCAAAATCTTTTAGTTTCAAATCTTTCTAGTTTCTTTTCTCTAGTGTCTTTCCCAAATACTCATCCACCAGTTATTTTCCTAACATGTGTTTCCTTCTCTGCCATAAGGACATAGACCATCCAAATCTGATGGTTTATCTAGGTAGGTTACTGAGGTCTGCTCACACCTACTAGTAAGGAAGCAAAGGTGAATGGGTTGGGGACAGGATATTAAGGGTGGATGCCACTGTAGTCATCTGTGTAAATAGATTCTCTGCCTGGAAGAACAAAACTTACAGAGTAACACTTGGAGCCAAATAAGACCAGATGAGGAATCAAGACTTGCTTTCAGCATGGAGGTCTTGAATTATTATTGAGGGCTTGGGTTATTGTGCTCCTTTTAATTTTGATGCCCAAATGATCTACCCTCCAGCTTTTTTTTGTTTTTGTTTTTGTTTTTTTGGTACCAGGGATCAAACTCCGGACCTTGCACTTGTAAGGCAGGCACTGGAACCACTGAGCTAAATCCCTGGCCCATACCCTCCAGTTTTATAGCTAGTGTTTCTTTGACTCAGAGGTCCTCTAACCACCTGATTTACTCATTCCTTAGACATCTCTGTGAGTGATATAAGGGGCTCTCCTACAGTCCAGACAGCTGCTCGAAGACAAGAGACCAGTATTCCTGACCATCAGGATGGGGGGGGGGCGGTTACTGTTGATTTATTAAGAGTGGGAGGATCTCTTCTTCCACTTGCTTCAACTTAGTTTAAATCCATGGATTTAAATGTGATTAAGAGGAACTGTCCCTGAGGAAGGGTTAGGAAAGGAAAATAAGGGGTGGGGTATACAGGGTAGGGTAGCCTGATGTTTGAGACTACTTGAGCAACTTCTTCTGATATCACAGTCCAATTTTCCAATAGGCTGCAGGCAATCCTAAAACCACATTCTTCACTTAAGCTAAACTGTCAACCGCACAGTGCTTTGTGCTAAACACGTATGGGTGAGTACAAATGATAGTTTCTGGGGACTGTGTTTAATCCTCCCTCTTCTACAGCTGCTTGTAGGTAACCACATAAGTTACACGGAAACTCCAGCGAGCTCAGTTTTGCAGCCAAGAACTGCACTTCCAGGCTCCTGAGGCGGGCCAAGCGCCCTCATCCCATTTCCAGAGGCCACAAGACGGGCACCTTCGACCTCCAGTGGGTGTCAAGCCCTTCTGGGCTGAGCCTATCCGGCGTCCAGGCTTTCCAGGCTGGGTGGACCAGCGACCCAGGGTCTTCTGGAACCGCGACCAGACTTCTGTGGCTCGCGCTCCCTCTAAGTACTGCTGTTAGTGGATATCCATTGTGGGAAACAATGTCAAAAGACACACAGAAGAATCAGGCCTCCAAAGGGGGTGCGCCCCCCAGTCTGATCCCTCCTATCAACTCCGCAGCCTCCGGGGCCCGCGGCGCGCTCCTGCACAGACTCTACCCGGAGACCTTGGCTCCCTCCCCGGGCCGCGCCCCGGGATTCCCCCTCGCCCGCTCCCAGGCCCGGGAAACCGGCGGTGCAGCCGCTGGGGTTCGGGCCGTGGCGCTGCTCCCAGGCCTCACTTTCACTTTCGGTCCCGGGGTGGCGAGGCGAGGTGAGCGGCGCGGCCCGGGTCCATGTGTACAGCAGCCCGCCCTGTGCGCCCCGACTGCTTGGACCGCGGGCCCGGGGCGCGGCGGGGGAGGAGGAAGGGGAGGTGCGCGCGGATCGCGGGGTCGGGCCCCAGCCACCCCGCGCTGGTCCCTGGGCACCTCGAGGAGCCCGGGCGCTTGGCCGGCGCCACCCCGCGCTCCCTCCTTCCGTGCCCCGCCTCCCAGGGCCGGGATGAGCCCGGGGCCGGGGAGGGCGGCTGGGCCGCGGGCTGGAGGGGCTGCGCGGACGGAACCGGCTTAGGGGTGACCGCGCGCGGGGCAGGGGCTGGGGTGCTGGGAGGTCCCGGGCCATGTGTGACCTAGAGATCAGTTTTCTCCCCGCTTCTCGTGTTTTGGGCCCTCAATTCTCTCCCATCTTCCTTCCCACTCTGCCGGGTTTTCTTCAGGGAAAGCTGTCCTGCTTGAGCAAAATGAAAGCTTCCGGCCTAGGCGACTCACTAGCCAAGGGAGGGCTGGGGTCAATTTCGTAGGAGGCAGGGGAAAGGTACACATTTCCTTGGGGTCTCGATGCAGGTTCTTTGTGTAGACTTGCTTCAAAAAAAAAAGCTTGTGTTTTCTGTTAATCGGGATGTGGTCAACAACTGAAAAAAAATATTAAAAAAAAATTGGCAAGTCGCCATTACCCCCAAGGACGCGGAAGTGTGCTGAGTGGCACGTTTTCAGGTGGGCCTAAATAGAAAACGCCTGGTATTTTTTTTTTTTTTTTTACAAATTCTAATTCGACATTTAAATCATTTGTTAGTAGTGACAAGCTATTTTCAGTGCTTTTTAATTCACTTCATTGTTTGGAAAATTTTGCATTGCTGCTTATGATCTCTTGCGTTCTGTACCATCTCTTAAAAAGAGAGGCAAGAAATAACCGGACTTTTTTGTAGAATGGGAAAAGTTAAGTGTTACCAAGAGCAGCCCAAATAAGATTCATTGAGGTCATTGACTGTGAACAGTAGTTTGATGAGATGTCGAAAAGAAAAATCTTTTTTAAGACTTTAAAGGAATACAGTTAAATATGAAAGTTCTTTAAAACCTTTACCTCTGTAGTGTAAACCTGTATTCAACTGCCGGCCTGAAATTTCCTCTTGGATATCTCGGGGACATCCTGAATTAAACATTTTAAAAATGAACCTAAGATTCTTTCCCTTTAAAATTTGTTTCACTTCTGGTCTTCTCTATCTCCAAAAAAGGTAGCCCTGACTACCAGATTTCATTCTAGAAACAGTAGCTATGTCTGATGATGACTGTTCTCAATGCACTCCCCACTTCCAGTCCACCTTACATACAGGCCATGCAGGAGTCTGTCCTTAAAGGCCCCCCCCCCCCCCCCCCCCGCCAAGATACTGGCCTACATTGTCTTGGAACTAACTAGTCTCCTAGCTTCCCTTTTTTTTTTTTCTGTTTTCTACTCTCCATCCAGTAACCAGAGCAATTTTATTGAAATGTGAATTGGAACCTAAGACTTAGCTCCTTTCTAGAGGGTCTTCATGGCCCTTAGGATACCGGCTCTAATCCTTAACATGCCTGCAGGGCTGTGTGTATCTAACTTCTGCCTGCCTCACCAGGTGCCACTCCCTCGCCACACTGCATTTCCTGTTCCTTGGCCTTCATGAGCAGGGCTTTCTTCTGCCTCAGCCTGCCTGTGAATACATGTGCTGTTCCCTCTGGGCCACTTTCCTTCTCTTGCTTAGTTAACTCATATTTGTTCTTTAAGTCACATCAGAAAGCTGCCTTCACAGCGTAAACTGGCCTGTTACTACTATTCTCTCCCTCTTTCCATTCCTGGGGATTGAACCTAGGGCCTTTGCACTGAGCGACATTCCCAGCCCTTTTTATATTTTTCGTTTTGAGACAGGATTCCACTAAGTTGCTAGGTGGCCAGGCTAGGTTTGAATTCTCCATCTTCCTGCCCCAGCCTCCCACAGCTGTGGGATTGCAGGTGTGTACCAGCACTCCTGACTGTTACTCACTTTTAGTGTGTGTATGTGTATTTCCCTTCACACACACACAACCGTCAGCCAGATACACGTATAAATTAATGTAAACATATTAAAAAGCTTCCCTTCTATGTAAACGCAGGGACCTGGGTTGTCTAGTATTGCTAGTATTCAGCAATACAAGTCACAAAATAGGCTCTAAATAAATATTTATGGAATGAGTGATTGAAACTCTTAACTTTTTAAATCTTTACAGCAATCCTGTGAGGGAGCTACAGTATTTATTATCTCATTTCACACATGATGAGAATGAAAGTGGGGTTAAATAACTTGCCCAAGGTCACATACTAGGTGACTGAGTAAGAACTCAAAGGCAGGTTTTCTCCCTTTTTGAATATGCAGTATATATCTATAGTTATGTGTGTGTGTGTGTGTGTGTGTGTGTGAGTGTGTGTATCTCCACATTTTTTTTTTTGATACCAGGGATGAAATTCGGGTCCTTGCGCTTGCGCAGCAGGCGGCGAAACCACTGAGCTAAATCCCCGGCCCTGTATCTCCACATTTGTAGAAAAATAGCGGAGGCTACTTCTTGGAGTTCTTAAATACAACGGTGTTCACTGGGAGTCTTGGTAGCATACAAAGGCAGAATGAGTAGTGACACACGGGAAATGAGAAAGTGAAAGGAGAAAGGTTTAAGAGAACTTGGCCAGGTACAAAATGCATGAGTTTATGACCAGACAGGCTGTAATCACACTTGCATTCTGCCGAATGTGAACTTGGCCAAGTTACACGAGTATTTCTTTACTTCAGTTTCCCCACCTCAAAAGTGGGAATTATAGCTTATTGGAGAGGTGTGACACATGTATACAGTGCCTGGCACTCTGTAGGTGTAGTAAATGTTAAGTTCTTTCTGTCTTTGCTTCTGTCCCTTTAGGTGTTATTGGAATATAATTTCAAAACAAATTGCACTTTTCTTAGGAAGGGGGCTGCATATACTGTTTTTTGAGAGCCCTTGTTTTGAGTTGCACTCCTTTTGGAGAATTAATAATAAAACTTGAGGGCCTGGGATTTAGCTCAGTGGCACTGCACCTGCCTTGCAAGCTCAAGGTCCTGAGTTCGATTCTCAGTACCAAAACAAACAAACAAACTTGACTCTTAGACAACTGCCAGAACTATGAAGTACTTTGTTTCAAATTTACTGTTAGAAGCAAAGCCAGATAAGAGCTTATTTTTCTTTCTTATTTTTTTTTTTTTTAGTTCTTTTATTGGTACATTTTAGGTATACAATTCGTTTACATTTATCATTGGGTGCTTGTACCTGTACATGATGTATCTTGGTTCTTATTTTTTCCCCCATTACCTGTGTGCCCTTCACCCCTCCACCCTTCCCTATTTACATAGATTTCATTTCCATTTTTTTTTCTTTTCTCATAGTTTTTCCTTTCCCTCTTTTCCTTTCCCCTTCCCCTCCCTTCACTCCTTCGACTTTGGACCTTTTTTCCTATTTCAAATTATCAATTATTCATTTTAATCATTTTAACCCTTGTTTACACTTTCAGTTTCTCACACCAGAGAAACTATTCAGTATTTGCACATGTGTGTCCTATTTATTCCACTTAAGAGTATGGCCTCGTTATGCATCCATTTAGCTCTAAATGATTCTAGTTTTTTGTTCTTTATGGCTGAGTAGTACTCCATTTTATTTAAAAAACCCACATTTTCTTTATCCAGTTTCCAGTTGATGGGCACTTGGGCTGCTTCCAAGCTTTTGCTATTACAAATTGTGCTGCTATGAACATGGGTGCACATATATCACTGTAATATGATTCTTTTAATTCTTTGGGGAAGATACCCAGCAGGGGAATAGCTGGGTCAAATGGGACCTCTAAGCCTAGTTCTTTGAGGCATCTCCATACTGACTTCCACAGTGGTTGCACCAGTCTGCACTCCCGCCAACAATGGAGAAGGGTTCCTTTCTCCCCACAACCCTGCCAGCATTTGTTATTGGTTGATTTCTTGATAGCAGCCATTCTTTCTGGGGTGAGGTGGAATCTCAGTGTTGTTTTCATCTGCATCTCTCGAATGACCAGTGATGTTGAACATTTTTTCATATATTTGTTTGCTGCTTTTACTTCTCTGTCTGAGAAATGTCTGTTCATTTCAGATGCCCATTTTTAAATTGGGTCTTTGAATTTGGGGGGGGTCTGATTTTTTTCAATTTTTTATATATTCTAGATAGTAATCCTTTGTCTGAGGTACAGCTGCTAAAAATTTTTTCCCATATTGTAGGTTGTCTGTTAGAACTTGCTTTTCAAGAGAAGAGCTAAACACACTGGAACATGATCACAGATTGTCAGTGATGACAAGAGAACTTCATCTGTGAAATACATAGTTCACAGCACTCAGTTTTCATCAAGTTCCTCTCATGTGCAAGATGTAGTTTTATAGGTGCTATGGGAAATACAGCGATACATATATTTTTGTTTTCAAGGAATTTACAATGCAGTAGGAAGGCATTATAAATGCATCGATAATAGTATTACAAGGCAGGCATAGTAAGATGTAAGAAGAACATAGAAAATGTTGTGAGTTTCAAAGGAAAGAAAATTACTTCAGCTTGGAATATTCGTGGAAGAGTTCCCAGGGATGCCTTATTTGAACTGGACCTTGAAAGACTAGAGAAAGTTTTTGAAGTAGAGAGAATCCGTGAGGAGAGATGGATAGAGAGAAGTACTGGGCACTTTGGGGGAACAACCAAAGTCTGCATGGTCCTAGGATACATATGGGTGGGGGATATTTAAGATACAACTGGATCCTTGGTTTCCTAGACTGTAGGATGTAAAGGCACTTGGTTGCCTGGCTAAGCTGTTTAAGAGAGGGAGAGAGAACCAGAAAGGGGGTGGGCGGGGGTTAAAAAAGTACATTTCAGGGAAATTGCTCCATTTGATGATTTAGGAGAGGAGACTGCATCTCAGTGATTCAGTCTCAAACATTCAGTGAATGTCTGTGATGTACCACATCAATAAGACACAGTCTTTGCCTTGAGGAGCTTATAATTTAATAAAGAGAAACAGACATATAAAAAATTAAGTCTACTAAAATGTTACAGGTTTGAAGATACTCTGCCCAGGATTTAATAGAACATTAAATAGAGTGGATTAAAATGGTTGTTGCCAACTGTAAAATTCTTCCGACTTGTTAAATTAATACAATGTAGGTAACTTTCCTTTCAGGAAAGACCTAGTACTTATGGAAGTTTGCCTCATTTATCCATTGACTGTGGGTGAATACATTCTGACATTTAGGCTGTCTATTTGCATTCCATTTTGGCTTCCTGGACCTAAAACCTCCTTGAGATTCACCAAATTCTCTTTGGCCTCATCATGGACCAAACTTTGCAAAGCCTTTGATTGAGAACCCACCACCCACCCCTTCAGCAACCTGTGAGCCTTTCTCTCGGCTCAGGGCCCCTTGGAATTTTGAGAGTTTTTATTGGACTCTTGGAGGACCCCTGGAGTACTCACATGCTTGACTCTGCCCTGTCCACAGAGCTGCCTATTTTCTTGGTGCGAGGGCCACACGCAGTAAGTCGCTGCTGCCAGAAATTCCAGATGGAAACAGTCCATAAGTTCTCTCTGCTTTCTGGTGCCCAACTTCAAAGGAAATTCATTTTGTCCCTGCCCTGGAATTCTGCCTGAAGAGGTAGAAGCAGACAGATGCTCTTTACCATATTGGTATTTAAACATTATTCTTGCTCTGAATTGCTCCACTTCTCCATGGCTAGAAGCATCCCTTAGTTGGTTTCTGGACAAAAAGGCAAAGAAAAAAACAAACAAAGGACACATGGAAACCTGTTTTCCCTGTTCATATCTCCTTTCTCATCAGGGTAGTGCCTTTTGAACTGGGATAGTGAAGTCTCCAGTTTAACCTCTGCTGTAGTGGTATCCTTTCTGTCTAGCAGGGGAGGTAGGTGCCTTTGGCGTGTGTGGGGAAGGGAGATGGTTAGGGAGTGAGTGCCATGCAGGGACACATCAGCCATTGCTTTGAAGTAGTGTCCTGACACACAGGGCTTAAGCGATACAGCCAGCTTTGACAAGGATTATGATGAAGTTCTCAACCCTGGCTTCTCAGTAGCATCTCTGGGATATTAAAAATGATTTCTTGACTTTATCACCATAGATTTCAGTTTAATTATTGTCTGTAAGAATCCAGATATCAGGAATTTGGAAAACTTCCTAGATGATATGTGCCAGAGTTGAGAACCACTGACATTTTAGAAAGGGAAAATCCTGTGTACTGCAATCCTTTCAAGAGATTCACAATGTAGGATCACTGTTTTTCTTATATGGTCCGAATGACCACGAGTCAAAGGAATCTCAGAGAATTAGAACACATTTTCTGAGCTCACATAATAGGAGTCTTTCCTGGTAAGCATCCATTAGAGAGTGTGTTTCTGCATGAGAAAGGAATTATGCTTGATTCTCAGAGCATATATTTCCAACTCTTTTAAAATTCACATTGCTTTTGTATCTCTTGGCCTTTAAAATGAAGTGCAGCATATGGTTGGCAGCATGACTTCCAGCATGTTTGGAGCATTATCTTAAAATTATTTCCCTCCTTCCCTTGGGAATAAGCATTCTCCCTCAAGTCCTTGGAGGTTCTCTTCTGTCCACATCAGTTGTCTGCCTTCTCCCTTTGTGCTGTCCCTGGTTGCTCCCCACCTTTGTGCTCTCCCTGGTTGCTCCCCCTACAGTCCTTTCAAGGGCCTCCTCATTTCCAAATCAGCCTGTCCTTCCCAGGCCACACACAGAGGCCGGTCTTGCTCCAGGCACCCCATAGGGTCGCTACAGGCAGAATCACTCTCTGTGGAAATAGCATTCCATTCTTCCCGGAACCACCTGTTCTTATCCTTACAATCCTCTACCTTTCTGTACAGTGTTTTATTATTGTGTGTAAATGTTTTCTGTCTTTCTAGAGTTTGAAGTCCTCAAGGGTCTTGTCTGTGTCCTGTGTGTCATTATATTCCACACAGTACTCAGCACACAATCTCCTGTGAGGCAGGCGTCAGTACACATTTGTTGACAGAGAACCCTGGTGGTTGATAAATTTGTCACAAATTATTGTGAAAATCACCCTGAACTCTTTAAGTCAATCTTGGACAAATAAATATGAAATTGACTTTTGGGTTATCAGCGCCTCCACCGGGGGCGGGACGGGCGGCGCAAGGGCCGAGGGCAGCGGGGAAGTGGTCGCCGGCCTCTGGGGCCGGCACTGGCCTCAGCAATGGGGCAGGCGGGACCTCAGCGCAGCCCAACAACCCGCTGTCGCGAAAGCTGCATAAGACCTTGGAGACGCGTCTGGACAATGACAAGGAGATTTTGGAAGCTCTCAAAGCACTTTCAACCTTTTTTGTTGAAAATAGTTTGCAAACTCGAAGAAATTTACGGGGAGATATTGAACGCAGAAGTTCAGCCATCAATGAATTTGTAAGTAATTTCAAGGAAGTGAAGGAGGAGCTTGAAAGCATAAATGAAGATGTTCAAGCAACGAGCAGTTGTCAAGATATGACAAGCCGCCTACAGGCAGCAAAGGAACAGACTCAAGATGTGATAGTAAAACCCACTAAACTTCAAACGGAAAGTCAAAGATTAGAAATAAGAGCACAAGTTGCAGATGGCTTCTTATCCAAGTTCCAACTGACTTCTGATGAAATGAGTCTTCTCCGAGGTACCAGAGAAGGACCTATTACTGAGGATTTTCTCAAGGCCTTGGGAAGAGTAAAACAGATTCATAATGATGTCAAAGTGCTCTTGCGTACAAACCAACAAACAGCAGGTTTAGAAATTATGGAACAGATGGCTTCACTTCAAGAAACAGCTTATGAAAGACTTTACCGATGGGCTCAAAGTGAATATAGAACACTGACACAAGAGTCATGTGATGTATCTCCTGTATTAACTCAGGCAATGGGAGCCTTACAGGATAGACCTGTCTTATATAAGTATACTTTAGATGAATTTGGAACAGCTAGGCAAAGTACAGTTGTTCGAGGGTTTATTGATGCTCTTACAAGAGGGGGCCCAGGAGGCACACCTAGACCCATTGAAATGCACTCCCATGACCCTTTGAGATACGTGGGAGACATGTTGGCATGGCTCCATCAAGCTACTGCTTCTGAAAAGGAACACCTCGAAACCTTCTTAAAGCTATACAAGGTGTTGAAGAAAATATTCAGGAAGTTGTTGGGCATATCACTGTGGGTGTGTGCAGGCCTCTAAAGGTTCGAATTGAGCAAGTAATACTTGCTGAACTTGGGGCAGTTTTATTATACAAAATTTCTAATCTCCTCAAATTTTACCACCATACAATCAGTGGCATTGTTGGAAATAGTGCCACTACTTTATTAACCACCATTGAAGAAATGCATTTGCTAAGCAAAAAAATATTCAATAGCTTGAGTCTTCATGTAAGTAAATTAATGGAGAAGATTGAACTACCACCACCTGATATTGGACCAAGTTCTGCCCTAAATCAGACACTCATGTTGCTGTGTGAAGTTTTGGCATCTCATGATTCTTCAGTCATTCCATTAGATGTTCGTCAAGCTGATTTTGTGCAGGTTTTATCATGTGTCTTGGATCCTCTCCTCCAGATGTGTACAGTATCAGCCAGCAATTTAGGCACAGCTAACATGGCCACTTTCATGGTCAATTCACTATATATGATGAAAACAACATTAGCCTTATTTGAATTCACTAATAGATGTCTAGAAATGCTACAATTTCAGATTGAAGCACATTTGGACACACTTATAAATGAACAAGCCTCTTACGTTTTAACTAGAGTAGGCTTCAGTTATACCTACAACGCTGTGCAGCAACATAAACCTGAACAGGCCTGTTTAGCTAATTTGCCCAACTTAGACTCTGTGGCACTGCAGGCTGCAATGGTTCAATTTGATCGTTACCTGTCAGCCCCAGACAACCCGTTAATGCCACAGTTGAACTTTCTTCCAAGTGCCACAGTGAAAGAGCAGATTGTAAAACAGTCAACAGACCTGGTCTGCAGAGCCTATGGTGAAGTGTATGCAGCTGTCATGAGTCCAGCCAATGAATACAAAGACCCAGAGAGCATTCTGCACAGATCACCACAGCAAGTGCAGGCACTGCTCTCCTGATCGGCTCAGTGACTGTGCTTCCCTGGAACACTGATCATCCTTTTGTTTTTAGGCTCATAATCTTTACTTTGAGATTGGAGAATCAGTTTTTTGTGCATCATAAGATTGCTCTTTTTGTTCTCCAGTAATGTGGATGTAAATAAATGTTGACCTGAGTTAATATTATTCCACATCTGTTCTTTATTCCAGAACACAAATATATGGCAAAAAGTAATATGAAAAGTTTGAGAGATGTTTTACAATACTAGTTCTGAATTAACACCATATAAAAACTTGTTGACAGTTAAGTATTGTTATTAATAATTATAGTAAATATCTCTTTACCTGAAAAAAAATAAATTGACTTTTGATGAAGGTACTCACATGATTTAAGGTCACTGTTATGGATAGTTGCCTTTACACCCTCTCACTGCTCAGCATCTAAGTCTCTTTCCTGTGTTTTCTGTATTTTAGAAATTCTCTCCCTTGTGAGGCTTCTTCTGTCCCCCTCCTGCAATGTGAATTTTAAAAGAATTGGAAATTTATGCTCTGAGAATCAAGGTACTGTGGACACTTCACCTTAGTTCAGACAGTGAGACTTCAAATTAGGGACTTTGAAGCTCAGACAAATGGTGCAGAGTTGCAGGGGCAGTGGGGAGCTCATTCTAGTGCTGGTTGCAGCAATGCCAGCCTCTGATTTCTGAGGCAGTAGACCACTTCCGCTGAGGTCCAGTGCCAGTGAGGAGTGGTTCTTTGATCAGATGCTTCCCTGATGTGCTTTCTGCTGTCCATCTTTGCCTGTTTTGTGAACCTCCTTTCCCCATATTCCTGCAATTCTGGGACCATTTATTGAACTACTTGATATCCTCTTATAATTCCCCTTCTACCTTCATCAACTAGAACTTGTTCTGTTGCATTTGACCAAGAACCTGGGCTGCTAGCATTAAATTTTGAAAGACAAGTTATGCATTCTAATAGGTGTTAACATTGTTACTGACCACTAAGTTCTTTTCTCTGTCAACTAATAACATAAGGAAGATAATTTTACTTTCAGGAAAATACCTCGTACTTTTGCAAGTTTGTCTCTATATCTATTAATGCTGGGTAGATAAATTCTGATAGTATGTTTGATAACACTTTAATGACTTTACTTTTCTTTCATACATTTGTGGTTCTAGGTAGTTCGGGCAGGAAGATGGTACCTCAGCCCCTCAAGTGGCCATTTGCAAGCATGTCATTTCTACTTTCTTCACTGTTGACTCTCTTAGCTGTGTCAACTCCTTCACGGTGTCAGAGCAGTGACACTATATCTCCAAAAGCTAGCAACGGATCTTCATTTCCTTGGAACAAAATGAGACTTCCGGAGTATGTCATCCCAGCTCATTATGATCTCACGATCCATGCAAACCTCAGCACGTTGGCTTTCTGGGGCACCACAGAAATAGAAATCACAGCCAGCCAGCCCACCAGTGCCATTATCTTGCATAGCCACAACCTACAGATCTCCAAGGCCACCCTCAGGAAAGAAGCAGGTCAGGGGCCATCTGAAGAACCACTGAGGGTCCTGGAATACCCCCGTCATGAACAAATTGCTCTTTTAGCTCTGGAACCCTTCCTCGTTGGGCTCCCGTACACAGTTGTCATCCACTACGCTGGCAATCTCTCCGAGACTTTCCATGGATTCTATAAAAGCACCTACAGAACCAAGCAGGGGGAAGTAAGGTAACAAACATTTTAGGCTTCAAGTGCTGCCCACACTATATTATTTCAGATTTTTTCATTTTAAAACTCTATCGTTGGATTCTCTTTGGTTTTTTGTATTTTTTTTATAATGTTAAAAATGACCAGTGTTTTTTCCTTGCTCTTTTGATCTCATTTTTCATTCAATATTAACCAGTTTTTCTTTCCTCCAGCTCTATCAGACAAATATCTGTTGGTTTATTGGATTAGATTTAAGGCCTACGAAGTATTTCTCATTCTTTTTCTGTGCACTAGCTTCCCAGAATTGTGGTAACAAAGTGCCATGAACTGTGTGCCTTAAGGAAAAGCAGGCATTAATCCAGCATGGGGGTGCATGGCCAGCACTCTGGGAGGCAGAGGCAGAAATGACACAAGTTTGAGTTCAGCCTGGTCATTTTAGCAATTTAGTAGGTCTCTGTCTAAAAATAAAAATAAATACAACTTTTAAAAGAGCTGGAAAGGTATTGAGTTTAGTCTCCAGTACCATGAAAGGTGGGGAAGGGAGAATTTATTTTCTCATAGTCTCGGAGACTAGAAATCTGAAATCAAGATGTCTGCATGCGCGTCCAGCTCTGGGTGGTGGCCATCTGGCCTTATGCTCCTTGCCTTTCACTGCATCACTGCTCTGCTCTCACATGGCCGTTCTCTCTGTTTCCCTGCATCCAAATTTTCATCATTTTATTAGAGTGCCGGACATATTGGATTAAGGCCCAGCCTGAGGGCCTCATCTTAACTTTATTGCATCCGCATAGATACCCTATTTCCAAATACAAGAGTGGAGTTAAGGACATCAAAATACCATTTGAGGGACACAGTTCAGCCCATAACAGCCCATTAGAAGAAACATTTTCAGCTTAAACTTTTCTGGAGATTGCGATTGTCTTGTTTTGGTTCTGTTTTTTAAGGAGAAGATATATATTTTTTCTAAGAAGAAGATGAATTTGAGAAAATTTTATGCTAAATTTTAACATTAAAATTTCATAGTGGATTATACTGATTCAATATTATTTTATCAAGGTAAGAAGTCAGATGCTAGCAAAAGAATTTTTAAAAAGTAAAGTTTATGCCAAACAAGCTCCCCAGAGAGAACCACTACTTCTACTTCAGGGTAATATTCTTTCAGACTTATCTCCAGATTTGCATGTTATTTATGCATTTTGCTTTCTGTTTCACAAGGGAATTTTTTTTTTGTATTAAATTCTTTTATTGGTACATTGTAGGTATACAACACAATTACATTTCTCATTGGGAATTGTACCTTTATATAATGCATCTTGGTTCTTATTTTTTCCCCATTCCTAACCCTCCCTTCACGCCCTCCACTCACAAGGGAATTTAAAAAAATTTTAATATACTGGGAAGATGTTTTATGTCAATGACTATCGCTGTGCATCACATTAATGGATTTATTAAAATATATGTTTACATGTTAATTTATGTAACTAGTCTCCTATGTGTGGAAATATTAAATTGTTTCCAACTTTTCAGTATCAGAAATACTTTGATGAACATTCTTGTAATTCATCACTTTATAATCCCTAGAAATAAAATTGGTGAGACAAAGAATCTATAAACTTCTGATAGCCCTTGCTATATTTTCTCACCTCTAATTAATGTTATGTATTAGTGGTCTTTTTAGAGCAAAATCCAAAACATGACATCTTTCTTACTTATACTACTTTAATTAAATAAGAAAGTTGAGAAACCTTTAATGTGTTTGTTAATATTTGTAGGTTTTTCTTTTGTTAATTGCCTGTTTATGATCTTTGCCTAAGATTCCACCTGGTCATTGGGTATTTTCTTAGTAATTTTTAAGAATTCACTGATTTTTAGGCTATTAACTCTTCCTTAGATACTTTTTTAGGATTCTCCCCAGGGGTTTATTTGTCTTTTAACTTAGTTTATACAAGCTTTTGTCATATAAAATACTTTTTGCTTTTATGTTTTAAAAATACTTATTTAGTAGTGAAATCTATCAGTCATATATTAACTTCAGAAATTAAAAAACAAGTGAACACTAATTTTCGAGTCTCTGGTGTGTCATGGTCCATTTTAGTTCCCTTTCTGTGATTTTAGGGTACTCGCATCCACGCAGTTTGAACCAGTTGCAGCCAGAATGGCCTTTCCCTGCTTTGATGAACCAGCCTTCAAAGCGAGTTTCTCCATCAAGGTCAGAAGGGAGCCGAGGCACATGGCCATTTCCAACATGCCGTTGGTGAGTCTGAAATGTGGATCCGCGCACAGGAAAATCTGTTGCTTGGCTGTGGCTCCCACTACCCAGAGGAGTTAACATCCATTTGATTTGGGTTTGTTTTATTCCCTGACAGATAATTGCTAACTTTTCCTTTTCATTTCTAGCTGATGCTTTTTTTTTTTTTTTAAAGCTACAATGTATTTATAGTCAAAGAAAAAATTGCCCCTAAAAAATTCAAGGTTTCATGCCAAGCCCTGAAGTTGGTTTTTACTTTGAGGCAGGTAGAAGGTGCTGCCAGAACTTTGATAACTTGTCCTATAGGTCTTGTTCCTTTCCTTTAGACGTAGTATACGCCAGATGCATTGCATGAATAAGGAGTGTCATTATAGCTTTGCCCCGGAGAATGGACAGATGTCCAGTGGCTTGGAAGAAACTGTTACTTTTTATGAAGTTGAAGAAGGAGATGAAACTGGTTATTCAGCCTTACCTGACCATGGTAATCCCTCTACGATGGTTCCTGCTACTTCAGGATACTGTGTTGGAAGGCGAGAACCTAGCTCAGGAAAACAGACTTCAAATTCAGAAGAGGGCAGTGGCCAGAGTGACAATGGGAGATATGAAGAATATCTTTATCTTTCAGAGCCAGACTACAAAACTTCAGGTGTATATAGCATAACTGCATCTACAGCAAACTTGTCTCTCCAGGATAGAAGACCATGTTCTTCTACATCTCCACAGGACACAGCTACCTCATACAACTACCACCAGAAGATGATGGGCAATTCTGCAGTAATTGCAGCTTCCTGTGCCAGGACTGTTCCTGCTCCAGGCTTACCTAACTGCGTAACCGCTAATTAAACTACTAGTACTTCGTCACTTTCCTCACAGAATGCTATATAGCCCCTAATTGTACCTGCACCTGCACAAGGCAGGACAGTGATTGCTTCGCCATCTCATCATTACCATTCTGCTGCTATTCCTGCTGCTGCAGCCTCTCCTACCACCACCACCACTGCCACCTCCACCTCCTTTTGAGGTGGAAGAGGCTTCAAACTTACCACCACAACTTCCACCTCATTCCTGTGATCCAAATGCCAGTGATCTGCCTCAAGTTACAAAAGTTTTACAGTACTATTTCAATCTGGGATTGCAGTGTTATCACCACAACTATTAGCACTCTATGATCTATGTGCCACAGATGCAGCAGCCTCATGTAGAGAATTACCCAGTCTATACCGAGCCACCTCCTCTGATAGACCAAACTGTTCCTCACTTGTACAGTGAGGTAGCAAGAACAGATGGTGCACAGACAGAAACATCAGCAAATGGTACTTTCGCGAATGCTGACTCTGCATCTATCCCTCATGGAGCAGTCTATTACCCAGCAATGTCAGATCCCTGTGCACAGTCACCATGGCCAGGTTTTGATTCCTGCCTTCCCGTTGTGCCAGATTATCCCTGTGTTGCACCCTGTCATCCAGTTGCCACAGCATATGGTGGTTCTTCTCAAATTCATGGTGCTATAAATTCTGGGGCAGTTGCCTATATTGCTTCACCTCCTTCATCTTCTCATTATGTACCTCAGAATATGTAAGATTTAGCTACGTGAAGTATTCTTACACTGCCATTTTCTTGGTGTTTTGGTTTTCAAAGGTTTTTTTTTTTTTTTTTTTTGGTACTGGGCATTGAACTCAGGACCTTGTGCTTGTGAGGCAGGCAGCGGAACCACTGAGCTAAATCTCCAGCCCTTGACACTGATTCTTGATGCACAAATTTAAGATTTCCATCTGGTATATTATGTTTTTCTTCTTTGGAAGTTTTTTGTTTCTTTACTTGCATTCCAAATTTTGATGCTGCATCTTGATGTTTAAGCATAGGATTTTTGTCTGGTTCTTCATCCTGAGTACTATGACTTTCTTCTTTGGAAGTTTCTTGTTTCTTTACTGGCACTCCACGTTTTGATTCTGCATCTTGACGTTCAACCACAGGACTTTTGTCTGGTTCTTCATCCTGAGTACTATGACCTCAAAGTTTTTTATGTTGGTGTTTAAGTGATTTAGGTGTTAAGAGTCCTTACTATTGTATCTGTCTTTAAGATTGTTTTATCTTTTGATTTAATATATTCCCTTAAAGGAATACTGCTTTGGGCTGTGAATAAGGAAATTAAGATGGATGTACAACTAGCCCCATACTGAGCCTATTTGATTGTATTCAGTTGTTTCCCTGTCAACCAGCTTGTCAACTTTGTATTAGCTAATGGTGCCAATTGAAATAAATCTTACAAACTATTTCCCTGGCTGAGAAATCATACAACATACTAAACTGTTAAAAATTATAATTTCCATTTTTCTAGAAAGTAAAACAACAAAATCAACCGCCTTTGCTTCTGGGTAACTTAATATTAAATAAGAGAGCTCTTCAGGTTTCTTAAGAATTGTATGACCTGCGTTGTGTTTTGTGATATTAATCAGTTTTGAAGTCATATGATGCTCTGCTTTAGATTTATCCCATGTGCTATTGTTTAATACTGGATTTATGTAACTGCACAGTATTGAATTGGTGTCCTTTGCACAGTTAGCAGTAATAAAAACTAGCATTTAAAATTACAAAAAAAAAATTCAGGGTTTCAGGAAGAAGACATTCCAGGTGATCAATGTTGATTGGAGGGAAATTGTGCAAGGAATTTGGGCAGGGTTTAAATGATCTCTGCCTTTCACACAACACTTTACTTGTAGTTCCTCATGTGATCTTGTAAGAGGATTTTAAAGAGAATGCTTTGTCAAATAAGGCCATATTTCTAGTATATAGGCTTTATTTTTCGTATCTTCCATGTATTATATGCTACTACTACTAATAACTATACAATTTATATGTGCAAAATTAGGCAGACAGAAAAACAGTGTTTTTGGAGAATATCATGATGCTCAATTATAAATAATAATAGATGGATATCTCCTTTAAGAGGAAGCCATTATTGTCCACTTTCAAAGCAGATGTGGACTATTGCCCCTCTGATTTTTAAAAGTGAGAAGATGACCAGGGTAAAGGAAAAAAATTACTTACTAAGTATCATTTTGCACAGTGTGGTGGCATGCACAGCTGGTGCACACTGCCTGGTGTATACCGACACAGCTGGAGCAGGTGGTGTATAGACTCAGCAAGAGCACGTTTTGTTCAGAGAAGCTCTCTATGGATGAGAGTAAGGGTGGAATAGGCTTTGCCCAGGGTCCTAAAGGTTTCCCAGCTTGGTCCCTATGATGGGTAGGGAAGCACTATCTTCACATGAAAGAACTCTGAGTGTCACATGCCAACCTCTCCATGACCTTAAAACCCTTACCCACCTTTGCATACCTTAAGGATCAATCCCTTCCTCAAACAAAATTATGCTCTCCAAGGGGCTGTCCTCTATTAAAAGTACCCTTGTGTACATTCTGTCAGTCAAGAACTTAGATCCCTGTTCCTAACTCTATAAGAAGACAAAAAACAACTATGCTACTTTCCACATATAAATTGTACATAGAAAACATGCTTTTTCAAATTAGTCATTTCTCCCAGGCAATAGTATGACATCACACTCTGCAATAGGAGTGCATTCTCTGAGTGCCACAGATCTAGGAGAATAAAGAAACCAGGATGGGTTGGAGATGTGCAAGAGGCTGAAGGACCACACAGGAGTAGTGGAGAAATCTGTAGGCTTGTAGAGAGAGGGCCAGAAGCTCTGGAGACTCCATAAAGGCACTGACTGTAGTCTAAGTCCTTGAATATTCAGGGTCCACATGTTGAGAATAGGAAAGTCTCAAATGCAGTCTCACCCATTGGATATGAAAGCCTGTCACTGGCAGAATCTGATAGGAGAAGCCTGACTTCTGGTTGCAGATATGGAGTTGAGGGGGTAGGGCCGGAAAATCAGTTGCTGTACTGTGTACCATTGGAACATCAAAGTGTTCAGGCAGTGAGGAGAAATTAATCATATTTAAATTTCAATTAGTATACTGGAAATTTTGGTGGAGATTGTATAGAAGGCATTTAAAAAGAAAAGACAATCTGGAATCCTTTAAGTGTAAATCTAGGTTGTGTAGAAGAATCAGTTTAAATGACCAAAAGCCGGCACCACAGCTGTGGCTGGTGGCTATTAAGAAGAGGGATGAGGGCCCAGAAGTAGAGATGGGTATGGGATTGTAGGAAGAATGGCTGTTAATGGGATTGCCTGGCTAGGTCTTTCTCCAAGATCTCACTTCAGTGCTTCTGAGGTATCAGATGTTCCCCTTTAGGAGCAAATCTCTTAGACTGCATCCTCATCAACCCCACCATATCTGCACAGCCACTACTTGAACACCCTGGATGCCAGTGAAACAAGTCTGAGTTTGGAGGAAACTTTGTGGAGCAGACCAGATGTAGGTTACTTTCAATTGTATAGGTAAACAGCAGCGTCTTTTAGATGGTACACGGTTATATATTTGTCTAATGTAGAGTCTACTACACATCACACTTCCAGATAATTCTCAAACCTCAATTTAAAGACAAGTGGAACATATTTAGGCAAAACCAGCAATCTCAGTCTTGCTTTGTCCTGTCTGTGTTATCATCCACATGTGCCAGACATGAGGCAGTTTGCAATCATCTGAATTTCTTAAAAGAAATTAAGTATTGATAGTTGTTCAACTTTGTGAATATATCAGAAACCACTGGATTGCATACTTTAAAGAGGTGAATTTGGTGGTATCTCAATTAAGAAAAAAAGAAATTGATCAAATGTTTTTATCCTAATATTTAAATTATAATCAGATATTAGAGAAGTTTTAAAGTAATTATGGAAATGTCATGTCATGTTCTTTCAATATTATTTCTGGTAATTAGGGAAATGACTCTTTATAATATGTGTTAAGTGTGTTTGAATAATTGGATCACTTGGTAATTCGAGTTACTCTGCTTTTAGGTGAAATCTGTGACTATTGCTGAAGGACTCATAGAAGACCACGTCGATGTCACTGTGAAGATGAGCACCTACCTGGTGGCCTTCATTATTTCAGATTTCAAGTCTGTCAGCAAGATGACCAAAAGTGGAGTCAAGGTGAACCTGTGATTGGCACATAGGGTGACCAGCTTGTTCTGATTTTCCCAAGTTGTTCTGGTTTGAAAACTGGAAGGCTCGAACCCTGGGAACCCTCTCAATCCTGAGCAACACAGGACAGTTGGTGGCTCACATGTCACAGACCCTCATTTTTACAGTGGAGCTCTAATAACAAAAATATGAAGAGAGTTTGGCTTGCTTGGCTTATGTTCTACCGAGGTCCACCACTAACTGGCTCTGACCTCAGCCCTACAGTGGTTTCTTAGCTTGCTTCTGGTTGTAACGTTCTGCAGTTTGGAAGTACATTTTAGAGACTAAGGACAGGATCTCTGGAAGTGGGTTATAAACAAGTAAGGTACAGCCTCTGGCCTGGATTAGCAAAACACTTTTCAGGGAGAATATTTGGGCCAGGGAACTTTGAATACTGGAGAAAAATCTCTTTATTCAGCAATCATTTGCCCCTGGCCTGGATACCATTGCACAAGGGATACCCTATACAACTGTATGTCACGGCCCCAAATACAAATAAGGTTTTTTGAACAGAGGAAAGGATTCATTATTGTGAAGATATTCATATATTTGTGCTGGTTTTCACTGAGGCCTGAATAACTGAGGCTTCTCTGCTGAATTGGTTTTTGCTCTTCAGCTGCTGTGGCTTCAGGTATCTTTATTTCCCCGGGGATTTGAAGGTGGTGTTTGAGATTTGGGTGAATGAACCTTCTACATTCAGCAGTAAAATGATTAGTAAAAACACCACTGTTTTGGCTACGTTTCTGAATCTTTCATAAATGATTGTTTTCACGATGTTTAATCCATACTAATATTTTTTAGTTCCTATATTTCTTAAATTAGACATATATAGTTTATATTTTTTGGCAATTGTGGTCACTAAAGGTTTTGTGTATCTGATTCTGTCTTTTATTGTTCTGCTGACTCTTGCTCATGAAATCTTGTTCTCTTGTGCATACTTGTGAATTATATTTGTAAACTTGTGTCACGATAGTCAAAAGTGGATTCTTCCAGAGAATCTGTACTTGTTTCTGCAGGGTGATTGAGATTGCCTATCACTCCAGGAACGACTTTACATAAGATGATTTGACTTAGGGTTTGGACTCTCTGGTCACTATGAATCCAGCTGTTAAACACTATGAGAATTCGCTTTTAGCTACAAATTCTCTAAGAAAACTTCCCTATTCTCCTTTATACAAACCAATGCCTGAATCAACTGGAATTTGTTTTTGTATTGTTTTTTATTTGCAGTTTCCCAGGGTGTAGGATGGTTATTTTTAGTTTACCTTTAAACTAAGTGTGTGGCTTTTAGCATCTAGTTTTATGGACTTGTTGGACTTCCCAGCTTGGCCAGGCACTGGACTTCGTCTCCTATCCCTCAAGTCCTTCCGTGCTCTGAGCTACATCCACCTGTGTTGGACTAGTGCCTACAGGGAAGACCTGGCCTCAGTGCCCTGCTCACTTCAGAGGCTCTGTCACTTCACTTTTGGCCTCTACATCTCCCTTTCTTTTTTTTTGCCACCTTCTAAACACATTAAAAAAGATAATTTTTGTATGTATTGTGCAGCATTGATAGCGGTTTTCAGGAAGGAAGTTGACTAGGAGTAGTCAGCATCAATATAAAAATGGAATTCCTTATTGTCTTCCTTAATATTGACAACCACATCCCTCAGTATGAAGTCATCAGTATCAGTGTTTGCTATAGCTGTGTGGAGAAGCCGCTGTGATATTTGACTGTCTTCGGTGCCTTTCTCTTTAGGTCTCTGTGTATGCCATGCCAGATAAGATAAAGCAAGCAGATTATGCCCTGGATGCTGCTGTGACTCTTCTAGAGTTTTATGAAGATTATTTCAGTATACCATATCCTTTACCCAAACAAGGTAGAGATCTTGCTCATCTACGGGATATCATTTGACAACCTCACTCATGGACTGCATCTTTATAATTGGTGCATCCTCATCATTTTCCCAGCAGCCCCTCAGGCTATGAAAACCCCAGCAAGTATCAAACAGGCTGGTTCTTCTGAGGATCTTCTCGCCGCTCATCTCTATAATGAACTTCCAATGCTAATCAAAGCAGATCTCCATATGGTTCCTAAGGCACATGGCCTGGGGTCTTTTTTGCCTTCTGATATTATTAGTTGGGCAGACAGCAGAGGACAAAAGCTGCATTTGTTTTTCTTATCACTGCTACATGTTTAGCAAGGACGTGGAGGGTGCTTAATGAATTTTTTAGATGAATAAATTTATACAGTGTAAGAAAATCTGCATTTTCTTTCTTACAGATCCTTTTAAACTATTGTGTTTGAGTTTGTAAGTATATGTGTGTGTTGGGCATCCAAAATAGAATGGATTACTGAGGCAATTGTTCAAATTCTTTAGCTCCCAGACTTACGATCAGAGAACTAGAAATGGGATCAAGGGGGCTGAGGCACAAGTCTGACTGGGTCTCATTATTAGTAAAATGATGGAGTCACTGAAGCCCTTTTCACCACTGCAAAAGGATCTTCCCAGCTGGACCTCCATAATTGTGCATGGGCAGTGTAGCTTGTCTTTTGGTCCTAATACTCATCCATTCTGATGCTTATTGTGTTTGGGTGATATGGCTTTCACAATGGTAATATATTCTGTTACTTTTTCCTCAAGACCTTGCTGCTATTCCTGACTTTCAGTCTGGTGCCATGGAAAACTGGGGCCTGACAACATACAGAGAATCTGCTTTGTTGTTTGATCCAGAAAAGTCTTCTGCATCCAGTAAGCTTGGCATCACAATGACTGTATCCCACGAACTTGCTCACCAGGTACCCAAACTCAATCACATGTTTTAAAAAGTGTAGTTGAATGTTTATATTGCTCTTGACTCTTCTTGTATTTAAAGCCTTTTTTTCCTTGTAGCAAAATTACTTGTTCAAAGCGCTTAGCTTCATGTTTTATAATGGATGTTGGAAAGTTTTTACTTTTACTTGGAAAATATTTGTTCTAAAAATGTTAACATTTATAAACTGTCATTAGACATTTAAAAATGTTTCTGCCCAATTGTGTTGTATCTGTGAATACTGTTACAGGTTATACATAAGCAAGGCTCCATGAAAGTGTGTGAATAACCTGAGTCATATTTTCCCTGCAGTGGTTTGGGAACCTGGTCACTATGGAATGGTGGAATGATCTTTGGCTAAATGAAGGATTTGCTAAGTTTATGGAGTTCGTGTCTGTCAGTGTGACCCATCCTGAACTGAAAGTTGTAAGTTGTTATTTATGTATTAACATTTTAGGTTAATCTGTTGTTTTCATCAGTGTTTCTGGAAAACATCATCTAATCTTTGGTTATAGAATATATAGAGTTGCATTGACAACTTCCTTGGGAGCTTAGACACGAATCAGATTGCAAAAATGCTAGTGAACTTCCAAGATACATCACAAAGACTTATCACACTCGAGTGTGAATCTATGGCTGCTATGAAATAAGTATTAAATGATGTCTTCTCTTAATATCAAAGAAGTAGAAATAATGAGAATTTCAGTGATTCAGTGATTCAATGATTCAGTGATTTTTTTCCAACCTTCAGGTTGCTCGCTGCAGAAGTATTGGGTATAGATTTCTATTATCTCAATAAAAACCTGTTTGCCAAGTCAAGTGAATTATGCTTAAGGTAACTACACATTGTATTACATACTGTATCAGCCTGGACTCATGAATCACATTTAATACTTCGGGACTGGTATATATTTATTTTAAACATTACATCTCAAACTTGAGATAATTGCATACAAAAAACTTAAAAATAAATTTAGGTAAAAAAATTTATCAAACTAATTTTTTATTTGTGCATACTTATTATTTCCCATTTTACCTGTTTGTGCCTATAATTAATTCATTAATTCATTAATTTAACTATACATAGTTATAATTCTAAAGTTCATACCATTATTATATTATAATTGGTTACAAATATTTTCCTGTATGTTCAGATAATCTTTAGTAATAACAATGACTATGAATGCATATTATTCAAATGAGTTAATGTGTCAAATAAAGAAAGTTAAGGATGGAATTTATTCCCCATTTTTTTCTTTCATTACATTGTTTTAAAGCTAAATATCTTTGCTTGAGATAGTGTAGTACAAATGATGAATGAAAATGTCAAAATCACTGCACATTTTATTTTCTTGTTTTGTTGCTGTTTAGTTATAGGAGTAGAGGTTTTGTTTTTAATTTAATATGAAATTTTCTATATTTTAAATTTATAAGTATTTAAGAACAATAAAATCTAACAATTATTTTTTTCGGATGTTCTTCAGAGAGCAGAGTAATTTTGTTTCTTTTCATAAAAAGTAGAAATAGCTGTCACCCAGATCAAATCTTTATCTTTGCCTACTTTGCTAAATGTAACTCACAGATGATGCTTTCTCTTCGTTTTTCTGTCTCATTAGGAAGATTATTTCTTTGGCAAGTGTTTTAGTGCGATGGAGTTTGATGCCTTAAATTCCTCACACCCTGTGTCCACACCTGTGGAGAATCCTGCTCAGATTCGGGAGATGTTTGATGATGTTTCTTACGAAAAGGTAAAAGCAGATTGTAAGGTACATTCTGATACTGGGGTAGAGAGATTAGATAAGGTTTTGGGGTGGTTTTGACTTCGTCAGTAGAAACCAGATCGAATGCCTTCTGTCTTGACCTTTGCTGACCTACAATCCTAAAATTATATTTTGGTCAATTCTTTATTTACTCTTTGTTGAGTTAAAATTTATGGCCTTCTGAAACTGCCTTTTACTAATCATTCAACAGGTAGGTAATAACTGGGCATCGGCTTTGTACTAAGCAAGCTTTGTACTAACCAAGCTTCGTACTAACCAGTGCAGCTGCATTTTAAACGAGTTATTACAAAATATAATTTGTGCCAAAACTACAGATATCACTTATTTGTATTATCTTTTCAGGGTGCTTGTATTCTGAATATGCTGAGGGAGTATCTTAGTGCTGATGTATTTAAAAGTGGAATTGTGCAGTATCTCCAAAAGTACTCTTATAAAAATACAAAAAATGAGGACCTGTGGAATACGATGGCCAGCGTGAGTATGTTTTTGTGTATCACTACAATTGGGATCAACAATTTTTCTTATGTTTTGTTTTTCCTACCTCATATTACTCCCTCTGAGAAGAATCATGGTGTTTCCTATAGAAATGAGAGTGATGTGCATATTTGTGGTTTTAGATTTGCCCGGGAGATGGTACACAAACCACGGATGGCTTCTGTTCCCAAAGCCAGCATTCATCTTCCTCCTCTGTAAGTCTTTCCCTCTGCCCATGTCCCTGTAAATATGATCTTTTACACCATATTTTTGAAGAGTAGCTCTGTGCCAAACTTTCCAAGGTCCCTGATTATCTCACCCTCATTCCAGATGATTCTACATTGAACTATACTAGATACACAGCCTTTTATGATTTTTCTTTAATATATATATATATATATACACACACACACACACACACACACACACACATACATACATACAAGCGGGGGCAGAGTCTTCTACGGTAATATTTCTCACTGAAACTGTTATTTAGCTCTGCTCTCTGTAAAGTACTGGATTTATGGCTATTTCTGTGGTAGATTAGGGCGGCATTCTGTCACTCAGGAGGATATGTCAATCATTTCTTGAGCTCTGGATTTGTGAAAAAAATAATGGCAGTGTGTATTCTTGAACATTTACTATGTATCAGCACACACTAAGCACTTGGGTGTATTGCCTCCTTTCCTCTTCACAACAATCCTGTAAGCCAAGCCCCGTTACTATTCCTGCCTTACCATGTGGGAATACGAAATCCAAAGGCATATGGCCAGTAAATTGCAGAGCAGGGATTTGAATTTAGATCTAACATGCTTTTAACTGCTAGACGATAAAGTATTCATAACATCTGAGTCACAAAATGGCCCGATTCTTTGTTTATCTGACTTGTGGAATATTTTCATAGGCAGCTGTGGGTGAATCTCGAAATTCAACAGAATAGTATCCTTCGTGTTTTTGTTTTCTTTACTTTTGTGTTTTTAGAGATTGTTGGATTCCATGGTTTCTGGATTTATCCTGTAGCATTTTATCCTTTTAGTGGCTCTAAAATCTTTTCCTAAAAGCTTTCTGAGTATCAAAGAACATATGCCCTTTGGGTTTATGACCACTTGTTGAGCACAGACCGTCTGTGTTATTTCTTTGGAAGTACAGGCTCTTGATTGAATGGTTTTTCCCATCTTGCTTGTCTGAGAGCCAGCATGGTTATGTAGTGTTGAAACCTTCCTCTTTCTCTCCCTTCTCTCCTCAGTCATTCATTCACTCATTCATTTGTCTGTTTGGTGCCCAGTGCTATGCCAGTGCCCAGCCAGTGCCCAGCAGAAGCAGACATGCTACCTGTCAGTACACACATGTATAGCAGAGGAGACTGAAAAAAAGTCAATGCTTTCATGGAGATTTGATGGTTGGGGACAACTGGGGAAGGAAGCCAGGGCAGGAAACTGGGGAGCAGAGGAGTTCCCCAGGGCAGAGCAGGCTCAGTGGGAAGCAACCCTCTGAGCACAAGCTGGCCTTCTCTCCTTTTAGAGTTGGGTCTGTGTGAGTGACACATCTGCAATTTTGTGTGTTGATCAGCACTGGCGTCAGGAAGGTGTGGATGTGAAGGCCATGATGAACACCTGGACGCTGCAGAAGGGCTTTCCCCTGATAACCATCACAGTGAAAGGGAGGAACGTGCACATGGAGCAGGAACACTACATGAAGGGGTCTGATGGTGCCCCAGAAACTGGGTAATGTTCATAGAATAAGACTCATCTCGTTGCCTGGGTAACACCTGCCTGTTAGGATAAATCTTATTTTTGAAATGCTGTCCCAAAATACTTCAATTGAATCTATGTGTCTTGTATCTCCCTGTCATCCCAAAAGGATTAAGGAAACTTTAAGTTTGGTTAGTCTCAGGAAAGCTAACGATATGTAATTATTTTAATGTTCTCATGTTTTATAGTTTAATAGGATGTAATTTCTAGTTACTGGCTTGAAATCAGCTCTGATCCAAGCAACTACCACTACATTACAATAGTGTCTGGCACATAGGTTGGAGCTACAGACAAAAGAATTTAGGTGTTTCTGGGAATTGCAAGAGACCCAGTTCTCTTCTCTGGAGGAGAGTTGAAGAGCTTGGAAGCCTTAGTTAGAATTTGAAGCTGTCAGCTTAATACTACAGAAGGATATCATTAAAATGAGATGCTGCAACTTGATTGACCCGGGAGAGACACTAGGCAAAAAAATTTGTTTCATCTTGAAATAATTTGAGGCTTTTGGAGAAGCTGTGAGAATTGTGTAAAGAATTTCCATATATGTTTTATCCAGATCTCTTTCTCTCTCTCTCTCACACACAATTTTTTTAACTGTGTAAGAGCAAGCTGGAAACAAGACACCCTTAGAGTGCTCACTTACACAGTCATAGTAAAATTATCAAACATTAGGAAATAAACTTGACGTAATAGTATTATTTGATCTATAAACTCTGTTCAATTGTTGCAGTTATTCTAAAAATATCTTCATATGAAAATAGAAGAAAATCTCTACTTGAATATAGGCTCACATAACATATTTAAATCTCAGGTCATTTTGGTCTCCTTTTTGTCTGAAGTAATTTTTCAGTCTTCCTTTTCATATTTTTTGACATTTTTCGAAGACTAAAGGCCGGTTATTTTATAGAATCTCCTTCATCATGTGTTTCCACTGTTTGTTCGTGACCAGATGCAGGTTGTGCTTTGTAGGCAGGAATTCCACTGAGGTGATGTTGTGTCTTTCCTAGTACATTATTTAAGAGATGTTAATTTATGCAGTGACTGGTGGTCACTATTTTAAGTTAAGTCTCAGGTCTCCAGTCACCATTCCCTTGAATTTAAATCCAGACTGTGCTCAAGGAGTCTAAGAAGGCTCCGCAGTGCCTGAGCTGGAAAACAGACTGCATTTTGAGACCTTGGCTGTGATAGTTTTGATACTGTTCTGTCCTAAACTAGCCGTAGCTACTTGTTGAGTGAATCAAAAAATAAAAATCCATCCCTTCTTTCTTTTAGGTACTTATGGCACGTTCCATTGACATTCACTACCAGCAAATCAGACTCAGTCCAGAGATTTTTGCTGAAGACTAAGACAGGTAATTCATTGTGAAAATAGCTGGTTTAATTCAAAGAGGAAGTGTGTATACATATAGGATTTAAATCATAAATGTCTTTGGGTGTTTATCTTGGTAAAAACAAAAGGAATTAGGTTGAGAATGTTGCCTGGTTTTAAAGAATGGCTAATATAATGCTAGATAGAAATTAAAACAGTTGATTTACAGTGCTAAAATCAAAGGCTTACCGATGAAAACTCATTATTTTGTTAACATTACCAGGGTATATTGTCTGTACGGCCAGAAATGTGTTGCATTCTTTCCATAGATCTCTAAATCTTACAAAATTGGTGTCTAAATCTAGTGTTGGCTTTTTTCTTTTGGGTTGCTGTTGTCTGGTTTCTAACAGATACAAGCATTTTAATTTGTTCAGCGTTAAATTCTTCTCTAGTTTCTCTGTCCAGCCTCTGATCAGAGAAAGCTTTCGTGAGTCAAGAGAGTAAATGGAGCTATGATTTATTTTATTTGCTCTAGATGTGCTCATCCTCCCAGAAGCAGTGGAGTGGATCAAATTTAATGTGGGAATGAATGGCTATTACATCGTGCATTACGAGGATGATGGATGGGATTCTTTGACTGGGCTCTTAAAAAAGACACACACAGTGATCAGCAGTAACGATCGAGCGAGTCTCATTAACAGTGCATTTCAGCTTGTCAGGTAATACAAGCTGCAGAGTTGTGGTTTACTTCTGAAAGCAGCTGTTATCATCGTCCAAATTCTTGATTTCTTAAGATGAAAATGATTGACTGCTAGTGAGAAGTTGAAAGGTATTTTCCTTAAGTTCTAACAATACATGTTTGCTTTTACCTTGTGACTAACCTCCTGTTTGTGACTGCTGGGTGACTTGAAGTATAGAATCTGTATTTTATTATTCCTCATTCCCAACTCTGATGAGACCCAGGTATGTTTAAAATCCAGAAGACAACATCCTAGTGAGGTCATGGACCCCATCCCTCAACCCTTGTCCTGCAATTTTTCTGGCCCTGCCGTAGCAGGTAAGGTTTCTTCCATGCTGGGTCTACAACTATCCTGAAACCTTTTGAGAAGACTAAGTAACCTAGACCCAGTTGTTTATGTTACATCTCTTGGATTAAAGGAGAGATTTAAAATAAAAGCAAAAAACCCAACCAAACAATGAAAAAACCCTCTAGATACCTGAACTTCACAGCATTTTTATGGAATACAGGTCATAAAATTTGGCCTCATCAAATGACCTTTGTGTGGCTGAGCACAGAGTGAACAGGATCCATTTTTTTCCCCACCCATAACAGTGGTTTTAAGGAAATCTTTTCCACGCCTAAAATTCAAACCTTTTCAATCTGTAGGCATAATTGAAGTCATAAGAGGAACCATCCAGGGGGAAAAGCGTAGCTTTATCATTCTCCACCTTATGTCCTTCTTCCCTGATGTTGAGTTCTTCTTTCTGGTTCTTCTAACACCGAACTGTACCTTCCAATGTGGCAAAAAGCAACAGGGCAAGAAGTTAAGGGTTGTGTACCTAGCTGTTTCTTTCTGCCGAAAAATTCCTCTGTGTAGCATATTTCTGCTTGAATCTTAGAAGGTTTTATGTTACGTATATAACTACATACCCTCCCATTGAGGTTTTTAATATCAACCCCTGTTGTGAAGAGTTTCTATTTATATTAAGTGTCTTTGAAACAGAGAAGATAGTTTACTCCAGGGTCTCATACTTTCGGTGAATGCAGGCTTTCTGAGGAGGCTTCCTGAAGACCTGTGAGCTCCCCTTCTTCTGGAAGTTCTGCATACAATCCAACGTGTCCTGCAGGACCATGTGGATGGCCTTCCATTTCTTCTTAACCACAACTGGCTCTATTATTCGGAACCTTATTCCCCAGTGTAATCTTGCCAGATGTTAGGTGTGATAGGAAAGATACTAATTTCAGGGTCATTGTTTTGATGGAAGATTGATACAATATATTTTGCAGCAAAAAGTTGATTTCCTGGATTTTCTTTTAGTCCCATAAGTAATCATGGTGTCTCTTGGTCAGCATTGGAAAGCTATCGATTGAAAAAGCCTTGGATTTAACCCTGTACTTGAAACATGAAACTGAAATCCTGCCTGTGTTCCAAGGGTTGAATGAGCTGATCCCTATGTATAAGTTAATGGAGAAAAGAGATATGACTGAAGTGGAAACTCAATTCAAGGTAAGACCCTGACTATAAATACTATATTTATATAATAATGGCTTGCTTTTCTTGTGTATGAAAAAAGTGCTTACCATTGTGCATGTATGTATGTTTGTATATGGGGAAAACAAATACATATTTAGTGTTTGGATAAATTAACTAAAATTTGTATTTTATTTAGCACTAAAATAAAATGACAGTGTTAAACTCTGTACTTAATTTTCATGGACTTTTACTTTATTTCATTTTACTTCTCTATTATGATGTCTATTAAGATTTTCTGGGATCATTCATGGTACTTTACATGGTACAAACTTGTTATTTTGGACAAAATGTCATAAAGTTTGCATCATTTGCTCTCAAAATTTAGTCATGTAACTGTCTCTTTAGCTTAAATCATCCTGATTTTAAGTGGATAGACTGTCTTTACAAAAGACTATTATGCAAATACTGAAATAATTTCTTGCTCTGACCCCTTATATAATTAAATATAAACAGACCTGCACACTTTAAAAAGAAGTAAGAATTGGATTAAACTTTAAAAGTTAGTTCCATCACCTGAGTGAGCACTGGGCTATCATCAGCATGAAATGAGCAGTGACGATGCTGATGTGCATGACACCTGTCACTGTCCTGTGTTCCACACCCTCAGACCTTCCTCATCCAGCTGCTGCGGGACCTCATTGATAGGCAGACCTGGACAGATGATGGCTCCGTCTCAGAGCAGATGCTTCGGAGTCAGCTCCTCCTGCTGGCCTGTGTGCTCAAGTATCAGCCCTGTGTGCAGAGGGCAGAAGGCTATTTCAGAAAGTGGAAGGAATCCAATGGAAACATGAGGTCAGTCCCTACTGAAGAACCAATTTGTTGATGTAAGAGTTTTCTTCTGTTTCCCATCATTGGTGTTAACCACTGGAAAAAAATCCAAAAAGTATAAACAAGTTTTCCCTACTGTCAGTTTTTGGGGAAAATAAATCGCTTTTTAAGATTTATCTATGAATCTGTCACCTTTCTGTTTTAAGAAATGCTAGTAGGGAAGTCACATATCTTGGGAGTTAGAACAGGATCACAATAATTTCCATTTTGAATAGTCAGCACAAAATCTTACTGAACTAAAACCATAATGCCAGAAATAGTGACAATACACTTTATAGTGATTTCTTTGTGCCTCCAAAGTCCCTAACACTGTAAAGGAAGGTAAGATTTATCATATCCAGAGATCTCTATTCTTGCAATACTTCAGTCCTTTTATGTTTGGAGCTTAAACCCCGTTTATTCCCAAAGCCTATAGGATTCCACTTAAAAGAAATACTCATAAACAATGGCTCTGTTAGATTTCTGTCTTGTTTTCATGGAGTAAATTTTGAGCTGTTTAGAATTCTTTCTTTTTGCTTGAAAGATGACAACCTATGGAGTCAGTTAACATTATTAAAATGTTAGAAATGTTGATATTTATAAGAGTGACCTTTCACATTAAGGTTTTGAGAAGGCTACTTAAAATCTAATTTTGGATATTTTCTCTCACCTCTTTTTCCTAGAAAGCAAATGAAGGAAAGCACTAGTTTTTGTTTATGTTTCTAGGCATGCTTCTTTGAGCCTGGAGCCAGTTCATCCATTTATAAGTGGTCACCATTATGGTTCTACAGGCACTTTCTGGACCTTGGAGTCTCATGGGATTTGTTCTTTCCACAGCCTGCCTATTGATGTGACCCTGGCAGTGTTTGCTGTGGGGGCCCAGAACACTGATGGATGGGATTTTCTTTTTAGTAAATATCACTCTTCTTTATCGAGTACCGAGAAAAGCCAAATTGAATTTGCCCTCTGTGTAAGCCAAAATGAGGAAAAGCTTCAGTGGTGAGTCATTCATTCATGTTCATATGGCCAAGGGAAACTAAATGAGATCTGATCATTCTCGCACCTATTTTTGTTCTCTTGGGCAGGAATTGCCTATTATGCTTGGAACATTTGTGCAAGTGGGCACCCATCTAATAAGAATGGCAAGTAATTAGGGAGAACCAGGTGTTGGGGAAAATACTTAAAGGCATTTATGTTGTGTATCTTTAAAGCAATAACATTCTTCATATATTTACTAGAATCCAATTAACTATTCTTTTGAGCAAATGAGGGAATATACACGAATAGGTATTATAAATGCCATATAATTTTTAGTTTTTATTATTATGTAGCTATAATGGGTTTATCAGGACTCTGGTTACCAATTTACCTGTTTGGCCTTCGTTATTGGCAGACTGGGTTTTTTCTTTTACAAGTTATTTTATTGTACTCTTTTATAACCTTTTCATCACCTGTTCACTGGTAACAGTTCTTGTCTTCATCATTGCAGGTTACTAGATCAAAGTTTTAAGGGAGATATAATAAAAACTCAAGAGTTTCCACATATTCTCACACTCATTGGCAGAAACCCAGTGGGATATCCATTGGCCTGGCAGTTTCTGAAGGAAAACTGGAATAAACTTGTACAAAAGTGAGTAGTGCCAAAAATGTGCTGGGATTGGATAAGTTCTTTAAACTCTCTCTGTTTTAGTGTTGATGTTTATATAAGAATAGTAACAGTCTGAAGGAAGTTTTTTGACTGAAGATAGGAAGTAGAGGTACTTAGAATATCTCTATTAACGATGAAGCCCTAATTCAGTGCTAGCTAGTGAGGCTGGATGGTAATGTTTTCCATTCCACTCGGACTCCTCCTCTCACCCAGTGGCTTATTTGAAGCCCTCCTCTTCCTATGTCTGTCCAACTCCTCTAACCACTCTTGCATCTGCCTTTACCTAACTCTTGTAGCACTCCTACATTTATCATTTTTGGGGATACTTATTCGGCTGCTGGGCATGTAACATATTTTACAACTAGATCTTAACCCAGTGGAAGATAGAGATCATATTTTCTATCTTTTTCATGCTTAATCAGTTTTTAGTTAAATGTTATTACAGATGCAAGGCACTTAACAATATATGTTGAATGCATAAATATTTCACCACACATTTTGACAATTTCCATTTCAAGGTTTGAACTTGGATCATCTTCCATAGCCCACATGGTAATGGGAACAACAAATCAATTCTCTACCAAAACACGACTTGCAGAGGTAAGGAGAGAAAGAAAACAATTTTTTTCTTTTAAACTTAAGTATGAAGTACACAAAACACTTAAAATTAAGATGACTTAGAAATGAATTTTGTCAGTTTATTTATGGATTCCATCGTACTGACATAAAACAAAATTCAATTGCAGATAAACTAGTGGAAACTACCTCTTCTTGGACATGTTAAGAGTTTTTTGTTATGCCATTAAAAATGACTTGTGACAATTAGTCCTTAAAGATGTTAAAAGTGAGCTTTGAAGGTATAGGTGACTTAAGTTGGTCATCCACTGAATGTGAGAGCAGAGGTCTGGAATCTAGGTTCTTCACTATCCAAGTCCATGGTTTTTCTTCTTCTTTTTTGTTTTATTTTTTTGAGACAGGGTCTTGCTATGTAGTTCAGGCTGGCCTTGAACTCACAGTGATCCTCCTGCCTCAGTCTCCTAAGTGCTGGTGGTGTGCACCACCACACCCAGCATTTTTCTTTTTTACTGATCATATATACCATCTACTTTGAGACAGAATTTTATACATCTTATAAAATCCATCTATAAAATATTAACATGAAGAATTAAAACACTGTAATGAACAGGAGGTAACTATAAGAAGGAGTTTGGTGATAATTATTGCAGTGCTGCCCTAAATTTATCAAAAAGCTTCCTAGCAAAGCCAAAATGAGAAATTAATATATGTTATTCTCATTAGCAGGAAGAGTGACTATGAAATATACAGGTTCTCTAAAAAAGCAGACTTTCCTCTAGTCCTAAACTGCTTTTTGCACATAAAATGCCCTCAGAGAGGCCAGTTTGAATCAGTTACACAGCTGAGATGCTGTGTTTCTGAGGCAGATGAGTACAGAAGAGAGTTTTGGGTCAGAAGGGTGAAGAGCTGCCCTTGCTACAGCTTGTGTGGAAGGTCTGTTTTTTCAGTGGTGCTATCATGATGAGTTCCCTTCAAGAATTAATGAAATATTTTGACAATTAGTGAAATTATCAACGTGGCCTGAATGAGTGATGGTCTGAGGGTCCAAAGTGATTTTTAATTGATGGGGAATTAATCTCAGGTTCAGGAGGGTGAAACAGTAGGCTGCCTGAGTGCCAGGTGGGACAGGGAGGAGGAGGTATATTTGGGGTCCTCCAGCAGGGGCCATACGGCCAGCAATTTGAGAAGTTGTATTGAATGTAATATAAAACAACTCTGCATCATTTAAAACTCGTAATATGGCATTATGACATGGATTTTTAAGGAATTAGCTCTCTGGAATCCGTACTGAATAAATAATACATTTTGGCCCACACTTGTTTCCTGACTACAAAATCAAAAGTTGATGGACTAATGCCGTGAAAATTTTTGTGAAAAGGTTAAGAACCCTGTAAGGTGAAACAAAATAGCATGATCCTCAGTGCTGTGGCCAAGTTAGCGTGACCCTCACATGAGCTTAAGGGATTTGAATACCCAGAGAAGAAATAAGAACAAAGACATTTTTGAGGAGGCAGCCAAAAGTCTCATCTCTTTAAAACCATGGAGAACTTCTTGTAGATTTTATCTTGAGAGAACAATATATGGATTGTGAATTAGGATAAAAAGTTTGGCAAGGTTTGGCGTCTTACCACCATAACTTGCTAAGAACTCCATTCCCTACAGTGTTTCTATAATAACGTACAAGACTAGGCCCATGGAAAAAGATCACATTTATGTGGTTGAAATTGTTTTGCTTGGCAAAAAAGATACCGTGCACATCTTGATTTTTAGATATCATGTTTTAAAAAATTAAGTTTGCATCTCTGTGTATAGAACAGCATACACATTAAATAGACACACGCAATTAAACCTTAATTATAAAATGATAAATAGTGAAGCCTTTTAAAGCCTGGACACTGTGACTAAATAAAAGGGCTGCAGAGAAAAAGTACAAAACCTGACATCATGAGCCATGAACTCATTTCGTATAGCTTAAGGTTATGTGCACATAATCATATCCAGACACCTGGCTCTACTTTCTGCAGAGAATTTTGACAAATTCTGGAATTTTGGCTCCAGTTTTAACTAGCGTTAGAAACATTTGCTTAGTGTAATAAAATTAATTTTTAAAAAATCCATTTTCTTTCCCCAAGGTAAAAGGATTCTTCCACTCTTTGAAAGAAAATGGCTCTCAGCTCCGTTGTGTCCAACAAACTATTGAAACCATCGAGGAAAACATACATTGGATGGATAAAAATTTTGATAAAATCAGAGTGTGGCTGCAACATGGAAAGCCTGAACTGCTGTAAGCAACTGTTTCTTGCCAAGTTTCCATGATCTGTAATCACCTGAATATTGTTGAACGTGAATATTTTCAAACTAGAGATTTTTTTTGGTTTTTTTGTTTTTTGGGTTTTTTGGCTCCAGCTGGAGATACTCCCCTTCTCGTCAACTCTATCATTTGACCATTTCTGTGAAAAGACTGGCTAGCAGTTTTTCATCGATAGAACATTGCTTCCATTTACAGGTGTTGCCCTGCAATGAAAACCCAACTGGTGGGCGCTCTACCACAGAGGAGTAAAGTGCTTTATTCTTCTCATTTTATGTTGTACATTTAAATGCCACAGTGTCCAAATCTCTCAGCTCCGTATGTCTGTCATTCATATGCTATTTCATCAGAGCCCTTAGAAGGACAAATAGTGAAGAACCCTAAAGGCCTGGATCAATAGCTAAGAAGGGAAGCGGCTATTCTGGATTTCTCCACATCTGCAGTCCACCCTGTCTTCCTTGCTTCTGGTCCAGATGCTGATCTGTGGAGCCCAAGCCATCAGGTTTCCTTCCCCTCTGGATATTGGTCAATGGAGGGCCCCAGGAGTCTGTCCCTTCTCGAAAAGCAGAGTGCATTTATGGTGATAGGAAACACCTTTCATTTAAAGTTGTACTGGAGAGATTTTTAGGGAGAGGATGCTTTCTCTCTTGGCTCCTCATCTGGCCGATTTTTAAAATTTCTTAAGACCTCACTATTGGTACTTATTGCCAGTACATAATTGCAGTGTCGCCAATAGATGATAATATATTATGAAACTGAAAATATTTGCTTATAATAGCTCAAGTGAAGACAATGTATTCTACAGTTCTGAATTGAATCTTACATAGGAATCTCTGAATGTACATACAAATTTCAAAACAAAAGAATATGACTAATATGAGAAATGTCAAAATGTGTTTCTAATACTTTGGAATAGAGTGGCTTTTACCCAATTCCATTTTTGTACCTATTGCATGGTTGATGGTCTGAGAAATGAAAATAAAAACAAATCACTTGTGATTTCTTACCCAGGCTAGGTTACTTCTTAAAAAAAATGCACAGTCAAGATTTTAATGTAAAATACTTTGATTTAATTGTATTTCATATCTTGACTAATGAAACAAAAATACTGACTTTCAGTTTGGGTCACCTGAGGAATCTATCTTCATTACTTCTGAAAAGCTCATTTTCTACACAGACACAATATTGCCGAAACAATGTGCAGCAACCCTTTCAGTAATAAAAAGTTGCTTCTTACTCCTAAGCAGACATTGGCAATTATTTTCTCCTTACTTTACGGATAAGAATAAAAGGACTATGTTTGTAGCTTACTTGGGTCATCATGAATACTTGCAAATGCCATCTTAAAGATATTTTTAGTAAAATAAGGAAGGCATATTCTGCATACCTCAAACATTTACTTTTATAGGCATTCTCATTCTCAGATCTCTAGATTCTGGTATGTCATTTAAAAATACTTTTGTATGTGGATGGAACTTAGTAATTCTGCAGCCTTACCCTTGCAAACACATCTGTCAATGTCAAAGGTTTCAGTCCTTTTTTTTTTTTTTTTTTAACCAAAAGGAGGGAATAACTCCTACCCAAATAGGAAGATTAAGTACAATTAAGTAAAATTCTTCAGGAAGAGTGGTTTTTTTTTTTTTTCTTGTTAGAGCCTTGAAAATAATGTAACAGCTGCTTCTTGGATGGGATAGACTTAAAACAGGTGGAATGTGAAGTTTCATAGGTTTGTGCCCAATCTGTAAAGAGTGGTTTTAGGGAATATCAACCAACGTTGATACCTGTTATAAGTAGTGTTACTATTTTTGCTTGCACCCCACATACTGGTGATATTACTTAAGTTTAATGAAGTTAGTTAAACCCTAACAAAAGCTTTAAATTGATGCTAAGGAATGCTGTGCTCTCCGGAAACAAGAAATTTTTATCTTTTTTGTCATATGCACCTCACATCTTTTTTTTTTTTTGGCACCGGGGATTGAACTTGGGTCCTTGTATTTGCGCAGCAGGCATCGAAACCACTGAGCTAAATCCCCAGCCTACACCTCACATCTTTTCATGCATTCACTGCCAGGAAATAAAGATGAAATTAATTATTTATCAAAATTCCATCAATGATACCAGTACAATGCTCATAAACTATTTATTCAGAAAGATCTGAAAAACCCTTCAAAGTTGGTGGATATCAGAGGCTAGTTCTTAAGTTGCTAGGCAGGGGAGGGGGGCAGACTTTTACAAAATACATTTTGATTTGTTAAATTTAACTTCCATAAAGTCAGATAAACAGTGAAAAGACTAAGGTGGCAAATGGCTCTAAGCAAATGACTGCTGTTCAGGTTTTATGTAGAGAACAGAAAACAGTTTAATACCATGGTAAACCAACAGAGTTCAAGACATATGCATATCCTAAGAATTAAATTTTCTTATTTTTGAAACTTGCTACATTATCTAGCCTATCATTTTGCTCTTCTTCTTCTTCTTCTTCTGTTTTCAAGTTTCAGTGTGTTTTGTCTGAGTATGCAGAAGTGCTCCCCCCGGCAAAGAATTCACACTAAAAAAGAGATCGGTGCTTCCTGGTTCATCCAGGTTATCTATTATTAATTTATTATTCGCAGCACAAGAGGGAATATGCACCCAATGTACAACATCTTATATTTGACTTATGAACAAAACCCCAAAGAAACATCAAATACAGTTCAAAAGCTCAAGATGAAAGGGGGTAATAGGAAATCAGAACACTGACAAATGTTTAGAGCACTAAGCGCTAAAAAAAATGAAGTGCAAACTGAAAATAGTAATGAGATTAATAGGCACTGTGTGTAGAATGTGCAAAAGTTTGCAATGTTTTTCTCTTTTTTTGGTATTGCTTTAATAAACTTTATCAAATATATTTCTTACAAATATAAAGCTTCCTTTCCCAACTGAAGGCAATTTTTAAAAATTCAGTTTATCAGTACTCAATACAGTAGCACAGGTGAACCAGATAAATTCATCTTCCCTCTGGAAAAGAATAACAAACCAATGTTTATGATGTCAAAAGACTTAACAAATATCACTGTTGAGAAGCCGCTCAGAAAAATTTTTCTGTTGCCAATGCCTTTTGTTCTTCAAAAGTCACCATCCACCAGCTGAAGGCTTTATATGCAGATACCTTGAAAATTTTAGAGAAAAAAAAATCCAGTGAATCATTTGATATGTCACTTTCCTAGCTACAGACACAGAAAATATGCTACTTAGCAGAAGCACTGTATGCAGACAACAAGATGGAATTTCCTGTATGGAACTATGGGTATATTATTTATAGAAAATTTTCCTTAAATTTTGGGAAAAATCTTGGAGTTCTAATCAATATGTCTCCCTCTTAATAGGAAATGAAAATGGATTATGATGAGGGAGATGAACCTGATTTAACCTATGTTTTGATTTCTTTTAGGCTTTGGTCAGTAGCAAGTAGTGTATGCTTTTAGGGCTTAGAGTAAGACTCCTCTTCTGAAGATTTAGATAAGGACCCCTCTCTCAAGATGGATCACAGAGATTCCTTCAACTTTTGGATTTCTTCAGTCACCATAAATTAAAATCAAACACAATAGTTTACTTTCCAACACTGACACAGATATCAGCAGTCAATTTTTTCCTCTGCCTATATTCCAAAATTCCTGCCATTTCTACCAGACTCTAAAGAATACTTCTTCCCACCCTGTCATGTGTTGGTATTTACGGTAATATTAACTGAGGACATTTTACTAAAAGTTGTAACATGCTAATTTTGCACGTTACAAAATACTCAAAGAGGTGGACTTCATTTCTCTTTGCACAACACAGGCTAGGAAAACACATAGTGGTCTTTACTTACAAAGAATGCCTGACTTACCAAATAATGTAAACTTTAACTTGTTTTTTTGTCATCATCTTTTTTTGTATTTTTTTCATCACCTTTTGGCTTGGAAGCTTCCTCCGTTTTCTAGAAGGGAAAGCAAAACTGTCAGCGAGGTCTTTCTTTTCTGGATTAAGTATTTAAAAAAGTGATCCACAAGAGAAAGTTTATGAGAAAATAAACCCTCCTCTTAAGGCTTCTCAGAATTAAAGGGACAGAAGATAGCAGACAATGGAGGAAAATAAGATAATCCTTCTTTCTCTTCTTCATCTGGCCAAAACACTGTGTATTCTTCCCCCTCACTTTTCTAAGGTAAAAATAATCTTAAAAATAATCTTAAAAATAATCAGGGATCCTACATTTCTCATTCCAAATTTATTTCCTAAAAAAGGCCTATGTATGTAACTTTTTAAAAAAATGCACAGGTATTCTTGGATAGGAGTGTTTCATCATTCTCCCATAATCCATCCTTTCTTGTATTTGGAGACATGGCTGCCCAGTTAATGCACACATTATATATGGTTATTATGTTTTCTATTTCTTAAGAGGTTGATAAACTACTTTGTTAAAACTAAATTTAAACAATAAACAAATAAGTATTTAATATACTTGAGATATAATGGTATGAGCAACTTAATTATCAATCATGTTTCTTGTATTTTTGAATGGAATCCATTATAAGATTTCATTATCCTGTAAGAGTTTCGATGCAATTTGACTATAGTTTAAAGCTGTACCTTTAATTTCTTATAATAGAGGACCACAGTTACAACCATGGAGAGGCATGTTCTTTTTTTTTTTTTTTTGTACTGGGGATTGAACTTGGGTTCTTGCGCTTGTGATGCAGGTGGCGGAACCACTGAGCTAAATCCCCGGCCCCCAGTGGCATGTTCTTGAAATTGCAAAGGACACAGAAATTGTCTAATCTACTGTTCTTTCCTAACCCCAGCTTCAGTAATTTTAATAACAGGAAGCTCCCAAATATGCTCCATTAACGCCTAAATCTAAGACTTAAATTGGATCCTATAACTTCTACTCATTAGCTTTCATTCTACTTTCTAGAGCAACATGAAAAATTATTTACTGTCATAGGTTGGATTTTAAATGCTCCCCAAAGATCCATCTGTAAAAGGCCTTTGGGGCTGTGCCTCAAAGAAGACAGTGGTACCCCATCTCTTCCTCTTTGTATCCTAGCATATGATGTGAGCAATCTGTTCTGCCATATGCAAACCACCAGGATGTGCTGCCTCACCAGAAGACCAAAGCAATGGGGCCAGTCATGGACTGGGCCCTCCAAAATCATGAGCCAAAATAACCTTTTCTCTGCCTTGCCTTGGGTATTCATTATAATGATGGAAAACTGAGTAATACATGAACTAGTAGTTCTATTATGTACGAATCCCCTTCTCAGGTCGACCACAGAAACTAACATCTTTCCTGATTTTATTTACTACCTTCCATGGTCTAAAATTTATATAAATCACACACTCTGGTGGTACTGTAATAAGAAAAGGAAATGCAGGCAACTTGAATTGTACTAAGAATTTAGATTTCAAAATATAGATAAAAATATATATGTGTAAAATATACAAACACACATATATACACACCCACACTCATGTAAAGATATGTAGATATATAGCTTTTAAAAATTCATTTCATTAGTGAAGTATGCCAGGGGATACTTAATGCTTAAATGTCACTTCTTCTAAATAGCTTAAAATAAGACACTACATCACTAACAGGATAAATCCCATTTTCATGTAACTCCTGAACTAAGTTGTAGTGCATTTATTGCCCACATTTACTTTTGCCGATTCCTTTGCTTTACTTTCATTCTTTGGTGCTTTGGAACTGGAAGCACTCTTCTTGTTTTTGTCCTAAAGCAAAGGAAATGTGGTAAAGTTATTGTTATTATCAATCCATCAAGCAAATAACCACTGGCTGCAGCCAAATTAAACTAGACTATTCTTTGTCGTGGCCTATAGATCTCCACTTTAATTAAATAATAACATTTCAGTAACTTTTTTAATCAATAGTGAACTTACACAGAAATGCTTAAGACATGAGATAAAAAGGCTAAAACTAAGTAGGAAATTGTGGGTCACATTGGTACTCTGCTAAATTGCTGTGTTAGATGATTCACCAAGACCCTATTCTGTTCACCAAAATGGAAGTTATCTGTTATCAAAAAGACAAGAGATTAAAAACTGTTGGTGAAGGTGTGGAGAAAAGAAAACCCCAATACACTACTGGTGGAAATGGTGGTTCCTAAAGAAATTAAAAACAAAATGATCATACAACCTAGAAATTCCTGTTCTGGTTGTATACCTAAAAGAGATGAAATCATCATCTCAAAAAGATATCTGCAGTCTCA